CAATGTTTTGCCTGCATGTTCATATGTGCATCATGTATGTGCCTGGTACCTGATGAGGTCAGAAGAAAACTTTGTATTCATCTGCAACTGGATTATAGTTGTTTTTGAGCCACCATGTAGGTGTTGTGAATCAAACATGGTTTCTCTCCAAGAACGACAGTACTCCTAAGTACTGAGCTACTTCTCCTTCCCCTCTTCCCCTTTTTAAGTTTTATGTTTTGAACTAAAAAAAAAAAACCTATAGGATTTCTTCATTATATATAAATGTTATAAATAATCATAAGCATATTTTTTCGATTTTCTTCCTTAATGAAGTTTAAAAGTATTATTTGTACTTTTTGAACTCTGTTTTTCATACACAAATAGATGATAAAGAATTAAGCAAAGAAGGAAAAAGTTACATTTTGTTATTTTTTGTTAGCAAAGTACTAGTAGCTTAAATTGATTTGAATACAGAAATTGTTAGAATCTGAATGCTAAACATTAAAGATCTCTTATCAGCTACTGTGGGGTATAATTCATGTCAGATGATTATTCTGTGTTGGGACAGACGTGTGACATTTTAATTAAAAGAATATAATCTATTCCTCTTAAACTCGTAGACTAGTGCTGCTTCACTACCATTATTCACAATCTTTTCATAAGTTACTCAATTTCTACTTTTTGAAGTCATACAAACAGATAAGAAGTGTAGAAACCAATACTTAAGAATTATACAATTTTGCAGACTATATGACTTGTTTCATTGTTTAAGTGATCTGAGAGATAACTTTTAAGTTTCCTCTCAAAAAGCAATGTCAAGACTACATTCCTTATCTTAAAATGTTCTTCAAGATCCTTTCCATATTGTAAAAATACACTATATCCATCCAAATCTAGAAAATCCATTTATGCTTTTTAACTTAAGATATAAGTCAAAGATTTTGGCCCAAGCCTAAGATTCCATTGTTTCTGAAGCTAAGAGAGAACAAGTTCAATTTCGACTATGGAGTAAAACAGACAAACCCCAACCTAGCCACAAATGCTATAGATACACAAGCACAAGAAATTTAGCATAAGTGAGCAACATTCAAATTAACATATACCTTTTAAAAAAAGGTTTTCATAAAATATATTTCTTTGAAGAGTTGTCTTGGATACTTTATTTCTCAAACAATATACATTTCACACAGGAATTAATGAAATCATTACTTATAAAAGGACCCATAAACTATTGTTTAATGAGTAACTGAACAATTTGCTTAAATTTACTAGAGAAACACTGTAAAACACTCATATAACAATGTTTTCTCTCTAAATACAGTGTTATATGAAACAATTATTGTATAGAAACTTATTATTCAAAAGAAAAATACCATATGTGGACTTACAAAATTCTTATTTAAAAAAATATTGAATATGAAAAACAAGGATACAAAAATCTTTCTAGCGACAGAATTCAGCATATAAGGAAAGTAAAAAAGAACTTCTTTTGGAAACATTAAGTCTTTCTAGCTATTTTAATAAAAGAGTTTTAAACAAGCAAGTATTCAAGCAAAAAATTATATCTCAAACACAAGCAGAAATAAATATTAAAAACTCAGGGGAATAATAATAACTCTCCCAGATTGGTCACCTTTTAGAGAAACCTCTATAAATCTACTGATAACACAATAGGAAGACTTGGTTTTTGTATTTTTCTTGCATCCTGAGACCATGCTGATGGCAGAACCTGAGAAGACATGCTAACATGCTTTGCATAAACTTCCAGAATCACTGTTTTCTCTCTCAGGTGTACAGGGTAGTCAGACACAAATGGAATTTTGGTCACCACTGAATAGACATCGCTAGAAAGAATAGGTGATAACCTAACTTCAGACTTTTCTCAGTTGTGCTTCCTGATGATCTGTTTAAGGTACATTTCAACATTTTACTAATGACATTAAATTATATGGAGTGCTTTAAGTGTGGATGCTGCGTGTAAAGGTACTGTGTTTAAAGCAAGGAAAGTGCATACTATTCACAGCTGTGCATATGGGGTTACATACACTCTGGTGTTCAGACTCCTCGTCATTAGTCTGGATATTATGATTATATTATTGTGAAAAATGGAAGTGATGAAAATGACATATTAAGAACTCAGAGGACGGAAATTTTCAACTAATAATTTCTCAGATGCTCCAAAAACTCAGTTGTCAGAGTGAGAACATTGTCGTTCCTTCCTTTATTCTTCCTCCTTCTCTCCTTCCTTCCTGTGAATGTCTGCTTCTTTAAGTCTAATAAAATTAAATACATTTTCAACTTGTCATCTTTAAGTTGAAACCAAAAAGACATGATAAATGCTGTTTTATATTATCTCTCCACTAGCAGCTTATTTGTTTTTTGGAAAAATTGTTTCAGCAAGTAACACATGTGTTCTTACTCTTCTGATAACATTGTTTAGAAAACAATATGCTTGAAGTTTTGTAAGGAATGATGACACAGGACCTGGGTTAGTTGGGGTGTTTGTCAATGATAGATAAAATTAAACATATTTTTTTCCATAATTGGACACTAGGTATGGTACAGGGAAGGGTACTTCTGTCTATGTGATGCTTGTGATCGGAAACCACAACTACATTACGTTTATTTTCCATAGTGGATGTGTTAACATGAGTTTTGAAACTTGACTCACTGGGAATTGTTAGTGTCATTTTTGTTTGTAACAAATAAGCAATGAATATCTTAATTAAAATTAGAAATATGAAGTGAAATTCACTTAATATTAAAATTAGCATAGGGTTTTATTTTCTTTGGAATTCCTCAGTTTTCTACTTGTAAGAAGGCTCACATGGGAGTAACTAACCTGGACCACTAATTTTAAAGAACATGAGGAGGCACTGTGTATTAAAATTGTCACAACTCACTAAAACATTTAAAAATAATTTGCCATGTGAATTATTATGAAAAAAAGCAATTGTCAATTTTGACCACATGTGAGCAGGAATTATAATAACTAACAGTTTCTTAACTTCTCTCTGATTTTATGTGACAATTTGTTTTTAACACTCATTTATATCTATGCCTCTAATTCCATCCTTATTTTTGTGACTTTTCCCTAAAAAACTTAGAATGTACCTACTTATAAAATCCATGAATGAAATTCAAGGTGTCTAGAACTTTGATAATATAAGGTAATACAATCCACGGTGACAGTTTTGGATCTGAGCACATGTCTCAGATTTGGAGTAGCTGTTGTTTTCAATTACATTTACATTGTGTAGAATGCTAAGTTCATTCTGACATTTCATGAATGAGCATCACATCTTGTTGTCTTTGTTTTTCCTGAATTAGCTCTGAAGGACAATTGGTAATCTAAGTGGTGATCATCCTAATGTATAATAAAGGATTACCTCCTGATCCAATGACTTTATAGGGTTTCTTTCAGACCACTGTTTCCTTGATTATAGCATGTGAATAATATTAAATAAGGTAATAAGGAACTGAACTCAGGACATCATGTAAATTATTGTTGAAAATAAATAGCCTGTCGATATCATATAATATATTTATGAATATTCGAAATGATGATTACTTTCTTTAGATGTCACTTATTTAAACATCTCACATTTCATCTCAGAACAAACATTTTTTTATACACACAGATATTTTACCAGTAGACATGCGTATATACAAATATATTCATGTAAATATATATGCATGAATATATTCATACATGAGGATAATTCACAGAAAAAGATACAGACATCTTTTGGGTGGTAACTACCAGAAAAAATATATTAGAAAGCTGGAATATTTACATAAAGGATTTGTGGAAGTACTTGCTTTGGATGATACAGTTGAGTGGGGTTTTTTGTGAATTAATCACACCTAACACTATAATGGAACGCTACCATGAGTAACATTTTGATATTTTCCAAATTTAAACATTTAGTACTTGGAGATGAGCAGATAAGACATTATGAGAAGTTTTATAGTGAATTCTTTAAATTTGAAAGCATGCATCATAGCAAATAATTAAGTTAGAAGACTCTAAATTTCATTTGAGGGAAAGTTTCTCTTACTTTAGCTATATGTTGTCACTGATTTTCATTCATAGCTGACTGGTCCTTGGCCTTCTGATCCTTCATTATTGACTCTGTTGCTTTATCAAGATGTCTCATTTACAAAAGGACAAAAGAAGACTATGCTTTACCCTTTAGACGGTGAAAGGGATTAGGAAGAACACCCCTTACCTGAAGTTTTTACAAAGGAGAAAAATCTCATTCCTGACCCTGTTAATTCTGTGGAGATATCAGGAATGTTAGATCTTCTGTCTGTAACAACCCAGATTGAGTATTTTTTCTTGTTTGATCATAAAATTGTTTGGTAATTTTTGAAAAATTAAAACTTACAAACCACTATGACAATACTGACTAGGTGTAGGTATTTAAGGTCAGAGCAACTTTTTTTATTTGTGTTTTTTGTAGTAGTTCACTTAGCTGTTATGAAAACAGGATAAGTTTTGCAAAGTTCTTGTTATTTTATAAAATGATGAATTTTGTGAAATTTACAACCTTTCAACACATTCATACAGAGGAGTGTTGCATACTTTTTTAAATAATTTTTTGTTTTATAAAAGCAGATTAACTCATTGGAAGTTCCAATAAATCAACATGTGTACACACATTTAAACTGAATCTATGATTTTGAGGTTTGTCCTAAAATATTTTGCCTTTTCTGCTGGTAAATAAGTCAGTGTTGTGATCAGATAATGAGACTTACAATGTGTTCTTCACTTATATATAGGATATTTAATAATGTATTTCAATGTTTTACTTTGAGAATCACTTAAGGACTAATGAAAACTGACCCATCATAAGTGACCCTTCATAGATAGACTACTGGGTTTAGTATCACCAAAGTAGATAATTTTATCTTCAAAATATCAAATGTGGCTATTTAGAGTATTCAATAATTTATCTCAACTTTAGAACTACATGTTATGCAACTATGCCTTAAAATATTATTTTTAATGGCAAAACAATCAATAAAGTACCAGCTTGTACATGGTGATTATATAACTTTAAAGATGTATTCTTCTCTCATAAATTCAGACTTATATGAAAAGATTTTACTTCAGGATCTCCTTGAGAGTAATGCAAAACCAGAGCATTGTCACTGAGTTCATACTCCTTGGACTTTCACTGAATGCAGAAGTTGAGAAAATACTGTTTATTGTATTTTTGTTGATCTATCTTGCAACTCTTTGGGGCAATATGATAATTGTGGTGACCATCATCTACAGCTCTGCACTGCTTGCCTCCCCCATGTACTTCTTCCTGATATTCCTGTCCTTATTGGATGCATGCACTTCTTCTACTGTCACACCCAAGATGATAGTGGACTTCTTCTATGAGAGGAAGACCATATCTTTTGAATGTTGCATGACACAACTGTTTGCTATACATTTTTTCACTGGGATAGAGGTGATTGTCCTGTCAGCCATGGCCTTTGACCGCTATGTGGCCATTTGCAAGCCCTTACACTATTCTTCCATTATGACCCGGAGGCTCTGTGGCATTTTGGTGGCAATATCCTGGGCTGGAGGCTTCTTGCATTCTGTCATACAAATTACTTTCACTTTGCAACTGCCATTCTGTGGACCTAATGTCATTGATCACTACATGTGTGACTTGTTCCCGTTACTGAAGCTTGCCTGTACTGACACACACATATTTGTCATTTTGGTGTTTGCCAACAGTGGATCTATCTGCATCATAATCTTCTCTATTTTGCTTGTCTCCTATGGTGTCATATTGTACTCTCTGAGAGCCCACAGCTCTGAAGGGAGACTGAAAGCTCTCTCTACCTGTGGATCCCACATTACTGTTGTGCTTTTGTTCTTTGTGTCATGCATATTAATATATGCACGACCTGCATCAGCCTTCTCTTCTGAAAAAAGTGTATTTTTATTTGCCACCATCTTGACACCACTTCTGAATCCTACAGTTTACACTTTCAGGAATAAGGAAATGAAGAATGCTATCTGGAAAATGTGTAAGAGATTGATAGCAGTTTCTCATGACTATTAAATTATTATACTTCCAGTGCATTGGAGACAGAGTGTTAGGTAATAGCAATGTAGTGCAAACTTAGAATATTTTTACTGTTGTTCAGTACCCGTGTCAAAAGCCAGACATGGTAGTACACTTTAAATGAAGTACTGGTGTTGTAAAGTATTACCAAAACTAGTGACATCAAGGTTCAGTAGAGAGCTTGTCTTAAAGATATAAGGAAGAAAGCAGTAAATGTACAGAGTCAGTGCATTCCTTTGTCTCAGCATGCATGTGTGCAGGTACATACAACATGTACTTCTCATTTGTTTATATACACATGCACATTATTCACATAGACATGCACAAACAAATCAATAATTACAGTTAGAAAACTAATTTTAAAAATATTAAGAAGTCAGGGTTGGGGATTTAACTCAGTGGTAGAGAGCTTGCCTAGCAAGCACAAGGCCCTGGGATTGGGCCTCAGCTTCAAAAAAAAAAAAAGACAAAATAACAAAAATATGAAGAAGTCACTATTTATTAGGAAAAGTAATTTATTAGTCATTATTTTTAAAAGATGGCATCATTTTCTATAGGATGCATTAACGCTGGTGTGAGAAAACTGTGTTTCTAAGATCACACTTTCACTATGAATTGACTAATTAGCATTGACATATGAAAATTTGTGGAGACACAGAACTGGCTTAGAGTACAGGCTCCTCCTGGGACAGATGAGATGAAGTTGGGAAATGATTGCTTGGCAGACCAAGCATAAATGGAAGCATACTTTCTCTGCTCATTTCCCAAAGTTCTTTCAGAATTTATACATTTGATAACGAAGTGGCTTTTGAGCTCAGTTTTTCAGGCTTCACCAGATATAGATTAACAAAGTGCTTTGCTTCCTTATACATTTTGATTTGCTTCTTTATACTTTTTATTTTGTATACTGCTTTTTATTAAGACATTGGTTCATGCAGGGTGAGGCAAGAGTATCTCATGATCATCTGAGTGGGTAAGAGAGGTTTGAGAGTTGAGGTAATGATTTTTAGTCTGTGTAAAAAGTCATGAAAATAAAGCTTGTTATGCAGTTGTTCACACTCTGCATCCCCTGTGTCCTGATATGCTCGAAACCCTTACCAAGGAACCCCAATGCACTAGATGTTGGCAAAAATTGAAGCTAATTTAATTTTATTCTTTCAAAAAAACAGTGATTTTTCAAACACTTGGAATGAGTAAATTTGTCTTACTAAATTAGTGTGTATTTTAAGTAAGGAGAAGAAGCATATGTGAATGCTCCAAGAGAAAATGGGTTCCTATAAGAGATGATGAGAACTCAGAACCTAGAAATGCATAGGCTCACGGTTAAAGCCTAAAGTCTAAGTGTTGCTGGATCATTTGAACACATTTTAAACTTGGGACTCGTCATGCCTGGAGGAAAGTTTGAGTCAGGTGCTGAATTTCTAAAATGACTAGACAATTAGAATTTCTAAGGATTGATGTGGGTACCTCTCTTGGATGAGCTATGTGACTTGATTCCCAGGGAAAACCACATGTTACAGCATAAACCATAGACAAATATTGATTATTATCTAAAATGTTCATATGATGAGCATATATCTCCTGTTATTTTCAGATGCCTTAGTTAAGGTTTCTACCGCTCTGTAGTCACCATGACCATGGACCCTTCTATAGAAGGAAACATTTATTTGGTGTTGTTGACAGTTTTAGAGGTGTAGTGCATTATCATTATGGTGAGACATAACACCCTGTAGGTAGACATGATGTTGGAGAAAAAACTGGGAGTGGAGAATATTCTGCATCTTAATTTTGCAGGCAGCAGGAAGCTGACTGAGACCCTGGACATTATTTTGAGCATAAGAGACCTCAAAGCCCACCACCACAGTGACATCATTCCTCCAACAAAGACACACCTACTTCAATAAAGCAACACCTCCTAATAGTACTACTCCCTATGAACTTATGGGGAACAACTACATATAAACTACAAGAACAGAGAAGAAAATCTAGAGGAAGATTTGAAATTTGTTTGCACAAGATTAATAAATTTCAATTTATTTTATGAGTTCAGTATTTTTCCTCTTATAATTTACTTGCTTTTGAGGGGGATTTCATGTATACATCTGGATTTATGTTATTTCATCACTTTTCTGTTCTTTTCAATTCATTCTGTGTTTCTTAATCTTCCATATATGCATGTATTTGTCTCTAATTATTATTGTTGCAAGCACACACATAAACATATGCACAGACAAATATAACATATAGATTTATAAGTAACAATTGCTGAATTTATTTAGTGTTGAATATACACACACACATATATATATGTATACATACAGATACAGATATAGATATATATGAGTATGTATGTGTATTTGAAACTTTCTTCTTAGAATTGGTAACATATTATAGAATTATCATTTTTTAATACTTGTTATCTTTCTGATTTTAATACTTTGTGTGTCCATGTAAGAATTATATTTTATTATTGTAAAAATATATCAATGAACAAGGCAATTTATGTATTTTTATTTTATATTATATTTTCTTTTATTTTCATTTTGTTCTCTTGAGACAAGGTCTTTCTACATGAACTCAGGAGTACTGAAACTCACTATGTGGACAACAACGGCCTCGAGCTCACAGAGATCTGCCTACTTCTGCTCCCAAGTGCTGGGAATAAATGTTTGAACTAACATGCCCAGTACATTAGATTTTCTTATGTTCAGAATTCATGTGGAATCTTCAGCAAATTATTTGAATGTAACTTACTTTTTTCTTTAACTAAAAGCTCTAACATTCCAAAGAAATTTTGTCATCTATGGGATGCTCCAGCTGGTCTAGATAACTTATTTGTAAAAATTCAAGAAATAATTAAAATTTTCTACCATATATGAATGAACTCCCCTTAAGATGCTAAATGCTAATACTGTGGTGGTGTCTTCTCAGTTTTATGTGCAAAAGCCAAGATATAAAAATGTGTCTGAGATTGATAAATTCCTATTGGAGAGTGTAAGTATGAAAAACTGAAAGTTTATTGCAAGGAGAACCCGCTTGTTAGTCCCGGCTGCCTGGCTAGCTTAGCCCTAAAATAACCACACAGAACCTGTAAGAATTAAATCACTGCTTGGCCCATTAGCTCTAACTTCTTGGCTAACTCTTACATCTTAGTTTAACTTACTTGTATTAATCTGCATATCACAACAAGGTCGTGGCATACCAGCAAAGTCAGCACTTCTATCTCTGGCAGCAGTTCATGGCAATTCCTTGACTCTGCTTTCTTCCTCCCAGAATTCAGTTCCATCTTTCCCACCTACCTAAGTTCTTCCCTATCAATAGGCCAGGGAAGTTTCTTTATTCATTAATCAATGAAAGCACATAGACAGAAGGTCCTCTCACACCACAAGTTGCTTGTTTTATATTTTTTCAAAAACTAGTGTGCACTAAAAGTTTTAATATTCTGAGATAATTTTTAAATCAATCCCTGTAATTTTCATGTCTTTCTCACAGTAGATACATCTTCTTAATGCTGTATGCCACCATAGGGTTCTTGGTTAAGTAGTTCATATGTCCCTATGAACTATGAGAGAGCTTAAAGATGAAGATGTGATATCATTATATGAAAAATTGCTTTTGAAACTTGTGAATGCAAAGATTGAAATAAAGCTATGAAATAAAATACTGAAAACACTAACCAAGGCATACAAAATGTTCCATTGTACATCACATTCAAACATTACTTTATATTTCCTTCACTCCTGTTGTACAGTTATGCATTCTAGTACTGTTATTCCAGGAGAAAAACAGTTATAGTTTTTAGCTGTGAAATAAAAATTGGATGACATTTACCCATAGGCAGAGTCAAAGAGGTGCAATGTAGCTGCCAAAAGAGCTAGTTAATAAGACATTGAAGCTAATAAGCCAAGTAGTGTTTTAATTAATATAGTTTCTATGTGATTATTTCGGGTCTGGGCAGCCGAGAAACAAACAAGCAGTCCCCGCCTATATAATTATAACATTTCTCTTTACTTTTCTACCCTCTAAACACTCCAAAGTTACCCATTTGTTCTCTTTCAAATTCATGGTTTCTTTTTTTATTGATATTTTCTATAAGCATGTATGTGTATGCATCTGCTACACAATCCTAAATATAACACGTTCAGATTTTATATTATTATTTGGATATATGTTTTAGGGTTAAATGTTTTTGATTAGATAGCCAGTTTTGGTAAAAACTTTCCTGGGGAAGGCTATTTTTCCTACTTTTAGAATTCCTTAGTGTTTGTAGTTCATTTTTTTGGGATGAGGCTCCATGGACTCTCCTTCATCCACCTTGGGAAATCTATTGTTTTATCCTTCTTTAGTTCAGATTTTGTTGATCATCTTGGTATAATTTTATGGGTATGTGGTCTGACATTACCAGAGTTCACACTCTTATCACATACTCCCTGATCCTTTGGCTTTTACAATCTTTCTAGCCCCCTTATTACAATGTTTCCAGGAATTTATGTGCTGAAAATTGTTTTATAGATGTATCCAATGGGACTGGGATCCACAACTGTTCATTATAATTCACTTTGCTTTTCTCTAATGATTTCTATATATGTTGCAGAGATGTTTTTCCTGTGAGGAATCAGAGTTACTCTTATTAGTGATTATAGTGAACAATATTTAGAATGTAGTTAGAGGTTATGCTGTTTTTTATAAGGCGGTGTTGTAAGTGCTCCTCCTAGATGAATGACCTCAGTAGCTATGAGTGCTTGACTAGATTTCTGATATCAGGCACAATTTATAGCTTGTTGAGTAATATTAAACACAATTGAGAGATTTGTAGTTTACTGAAAAGGTATACACACCACTCCTGCATTCTAAGAGTTATGGTGCCATGATGGTATTGTGGTACATAGGCTTTATAGCTAGGTAGTACAATTCATTGTTTCCCTCTTTTGGAAGCTTCCATTGTGCTTTCTGGTACCATTAAAACTCATCCTCAGGCCAGAGATATTTATGTCAGTTATATTGGGGGTC